AAAAAAAAAATTTCTTTTAGTTTTTTTTTTTTTTATTCATTAAATATTTTAATATCGGCCAAATCAGCCATGAAAATAATTATCAGGTTTTCCGGCCAGAATTGAAATATTAGTGCATCCATGCAAAGTCAGTTAAGTTGTGTCACTTTATATTAGGTGCTTCAAGATGATTCAAGATTCAAGATTTTTTTTATTTGTCACATGCATGGTTATATAGAGAATATATGACCAGCAGTGAAATGTAAGGCTTTAACTACTAAGTAGCTACTTAGTAGTTACTACTTAGTAGCTACTTACTACTAGTTACTACTAAGTAGCTTCTTAGTAAAACTACTTAGCTTTAACTACTAAGTACATATCTCAAAATGTTATTATTTTTAAACTAAAATGTAGTTGCACTATTGTACATACTACTGAAAGCAGGGACCCATTTTAGGTCTATCATGTGCCTAGCCTATCCTATCATGTGCTACAAACCATATAATAGTGTATAATTAGAAGAGTATATAGGCTTATTAACTTATTAGGGGAGAACAAAAGTTTTTCTTTTGTTTTATCTTTTATTACTGACGTTGCTGAGACTGTCTCAGATTAAACTCTTATATATTTTGGTGCAAGTTCTTATATTTGAAGCTAGTCACATTGTTAATTTTCCTATTCAAATTGTCATGACAATAATAATTGACAATAATTTTGCATATTATTGGACCTGTGCAAGGCATGGTAATGTCAATAGATTTTAAAGTTTTGAAAATCAAACAGTGTTAGTACTGTGTTGGATTGCCACCATTGAAATGTTGGGGTCTGAGGTAAAACTAGTTAGGCCCTTGTTTAATAAAATGTCTTCACAATTTGTTTGCCAGGAAAGAACTAAAAATAAAGTAAAAGCAACTAACTAATCAAGTAAACCTGTTGCATTTCTCAATGCGAGAACAAAGTTCTGTAACCTTCAGCCCGTTTAGTGACTGATGACATCAATGCCGTGCCATCATATCACACCACAACATTTGCATAACCTCAAAAGTCTCTGAAACGGTACAGGGAGTTCAACAGTCAACTGTCAAATTATAGACATCTATAGAGAAGGCCAGAAATGATCATAAAACCCAAAGACTTTTAATTTCTAAAACAATTTTATTTAACATAAAAAAAAAAAAAAAAAAAAGCCAGTACAGATCTGAAGCTTTTTTTTTAGAACTGGAACACACTGGTTAATCTCATTTTCAGCATTCTGGTAACAATGTCTGTAAACCAATGCTATACAATTAAAAAAAATAAAATAAAAAAAAAAAAAGAGGAAAAAAAAAAAAACTAGATTCACAAAATGCAACAAATTCTGAGAACAGGGGCTGCAGAAAGAAGACTACCATGATAATGTGAAACACGGAAGTTTGTGGCCTTTAAGCGAGAGGTGAAAAGAGTACAACGCGGAAGGGGGGACAAAAAGAAAAGAGCCCCAGATAAATTACTATGAAAGCTTCGCTTTTTTTTTTTCATTGTAATTAAGAGCATGGGTTTAGAGTGACATTTGCAGAGATTAAATAAAAAAAAAATGGTTAAAAAAAAAAAAAAATTCTAAGAATTAGAACATGTAAACTTCCTGATTCTCAGACTTTCAAAATCAAAAGCAGTACAAGTTTGAAATGAATTGGCCTGTGAAGTTCAAATATTTACTTCAAACCACGTGCTAGTTTACTGAGTAAGAAGGGGACTCAGAGAGAGCCCATCGTATCATTTGAGAACTTTATGCTAATCATAATAGTATAGGACAATTGTGCGTATAGACGTGGCAGAAAAACACAAGAATTACCATTTCTCTTGAAAATCTTACATTAAAGAGCATCAAATACTTACAAAACTCAAAACGGTGAGATTCAGCAGTACTCTCTGCTTAAAAAATACATAACTGACTCATTTTAAGGCAATCAGGCCTAGTTAAAATAAGGAGTCAAACAAATTCAAAATATAGGAACAAAGAGTTGACCAACAAAAGTTACATGAAAAATAACATTAGTTCATGTCACATTGATGTTTATTTATGCGGAACATCAAATGCAAATTTGCATTTGTCAAGTGTAACTGCAATGCAGATGAGAGGGGAAGGCAAAAGCAATACTGATGTCAGTGATGATAAAATCAGAAATACTGTAGCGAGCTTTGAATGTCAAGCTGGTAGGTTCCCCTAACTGTGTTGCATCCAAGTAATACACTTTTTTGTTTTAGATGGATCAACTCAGTTCAAATAGCACTCAAAGTTCTAGTTTGCACCACATTCTCTATGTAAACACTATTAAGGATTTTCTGATACAGAAAAAATACTATGTTGACAAGGAATGAGAGGGAGTTATGTCACCGAAATGAATGTTTTTTTTTTTTGTTCATCATTCCAGAGGATCAAATCGATACGCTTTCGATTATGGGAAAGATATCACAAAATAAACCTCTATACTGGATTAGGAACCTGCAGTATTATGTTGTCATGACATTAATCATTCAATTGCAGTTATTTCAAACGTCATTGTTTATTCGTTTATGTTTGTTCTAGTGAAAATGTTCAGATATACATCACCATTACTGTAGACAGAAGCAGCACTAATGTCCTCCAGGCTCTGCCCAAGAGAAAATCAGCTCCAAGTGAAAAAGACTAATAAAATACTCTCTCTTTAATTTTACTAGCGGCTGATAAAGAAATATGTAATAAAGTACTTTTTCCACACTTCTTCTGTAAAACTGAAGCCACCCTTCTTGGTGCTTTGACACCTAAAATATCCTCTTAGATACATAAAAAAAGACTTTATGCAATAAAAACAAGTTTATATTATGGGTAGCAACATGTAAAATAAAATCACAACTCTGCAGAGAAGATGGAAAATACAGAATTTGCATAGCAGATTAGAATACAACTGAGAAGGAACTGCGTTTTTGGTACAATATGGTTTTGTGTCATAGCTATTGATGCTATCTGTATGTACAGCGTGAAGTCCGTTTTAGTTCCTTTCTTGCCAGTCCATAAAGCAGAAATGGATTTAGAGTCTGTCACTATAATGCTCACAAAAGAAATGCCAAGCATCTCGTTCGCTTCTCGTCGCGCTGCTCCTCTCAGGCGAGACGTGTCATATCAATGTTTGTGTAGGAGTCTCTTACAGGAAAACAAGTAGATACTGTTTCGAAAGTGCCATCTTGCTACATTTGATCAGCTGATTCCACGGTCTGTTCATGAAAATTAAACATGTCGAACATCCCGATAGCTTTCAGATAGTTTGAGTTTTGGTCACATTCTCTCATACACACACACACACACACACACACACACACACACACACAAATGGGGACCTGCACAGAGCAGGTCGGGGGGTAGAAGAGGTAAAAAAGATGCACTCTAGAGGTTTAATCAATGTTCCACATTCCAGCAGCGGGTAAAGCTTTGAAATGAACAAGCACCATTTGGAAAAGGCCTCCGAAGTCCTCCATTTTGGGAGAGAGAGTTCAATTTTAGCAGTTTCCGCTCAATAAAGAAAACTACATTCAGACTGGCAAAAGTCTCAGTGGCTGAAATGTTCGTTTTGGGTTTTGCTTTCTTGGCTTTCCGACATGGTCGTTTCAAGGCAAAAAGCAGCCCTCGGTAGCGGCCTTACTGGAGGCGTCTCCATTCGAGGGGAGGCCCTTTCTCTACTCCCGTGTTTGTAACGAGTCCCAAGGGTGTGTTCACGAGTCCTCACCGCCTCTGGTGTGCGTAGACTGGGTATGCTAACGTGACATTCAAAGAGTCATTGTGCTGAACCAGGGACGTATGCTGGTAGTGCAAGACCAGTTCTTTCAGAGAGCTGTAAAGGTTGTAGGGCTCAGCGAAGCCATATCCTGTGGGTGTCTTGTTGATGACGCAGTGCTTGACCTCACCATCCACACTGCGAGAAGACAAAGAGATGGGTTTTAGTCATCAGTGCCTTTTGCAATTTCCCATTTCTACATGCAACTGGTCTAGTAGTCAATGAATTGCACAGAATGTCAAGAGATGTCCATGTAAAAACAACCAACATGTGAACTGATGCTGCCCCACAAGCACAAAAAAGTGGTACGTACACAACACTACAGGCGTAACATCCAGCTTTGCTGCTGTCCCTGACCAGGAATGTTCCGTCTCTCTTGCCCCGCAGCAGGGCCTCTGCCTGGATGCGGTTAATGTTACCCAGCTTCCAGGAGCGTTCGTCATGGTGTGGCAAATCTTCATCATCATCCACCATTGAGTATTGACTAGCGCAGAAGTGGAGAGTTTGATTTAGCAACCAGGAAAACTTTTAAATGTCAAGTGGCTATAACATGAGAAGCAGAATACTCACTCGTCCTGGTTGTCGTTTTTGATTCCCAACCATTCGTTGAGTTTCTTCTGTCGGACCCCTTTCTGTGTCAACCACCTGTGGCAGCAAAAAAAAAGAGAATAGTTTATTACATTACATTGTACTCCATATAGTCATTTCTGAATGCAAGATTGTGTCCTGCGTGTTAAATTTGAAGTGCAGAACCTATGGAGTATGAGCTACTTACATGAGGTACTGATCCCTGGTCTTTCTGAGCTGGATGAGGTCAGGCTTAATGCTGTTCATCCGCTTGTCGATCTCTCTGTAGTCTGCCGCTTGCTTCTTCAGATCTTCCTCAAGACGACGTTTGCTGTCCACAATTTCACTGATGCGCGATTTTAACTTCTCATAGTTGACCATTATCCTGCATTGAAACATTGCAGAGATGTTGCATTACACTTCTGAAATGTTCGCCAAAAGACTACTTTGGAAGTTCTCAGCTTCAGGACTCACCTTTGGATTTCCTTCTCATTGCCTTCTCTCCTGAACTTCTCAATATATTCTTTGCTGTACCGTTCTTGCGTCTGGCACTGCTCTTCAAAGATCTTTATGGTCTCATTAAAAGCTTCAATAGCAGTCCTTTTCATTTGTATTTCCTAGTGAGCAGACAAAAGCATGTCAGAATGTGAGCTTTTCCTGAAGGGCTTTTCTCAAGCTCTGGGTGAAAAACATACATTACTGAAATACATATCTACTATAAATAAATACGAATCATCTACTATAAACACATTTAAGGGCACACCTGTGATGTTCTAGTGTATTCCTCATAGAGTCGGTCGTACTCTCTGTTCTTTTCTTGGTACTGCTGGTGGTATTCGTGCAACTTCTTTCCAACAGCTTCTATATTGTCCTCCTTTACCACCTGATCCTGTAAATACAAAAAACATACATCCAATAAAATGTTTCCAATTGAAACGTGATGATCTAGAGTGAAGATCTTCAGGACACTCTATATTCCAGTGAAATCAGAGGATGATTACCTGTTGGTGCTTGGAAACAGGATACAGTAGTTTCACATCTAGTTTGGGGTTGTACTGGGCGAGAGACTCGTGCCGATAGTGGTTGATCAACTCAACCACAGAGTTGAAGGTTAGGGGGTCTGAAAAGCCGTATTTTCCATCACGATGGAAGATTTTGATCAGCTTGTTGTTACCTCCTTTCCTGTACAGCCAATAAAAAGTAGTATTTAGATCAACCCTTTGAGTCAAGGCAAGCACCCTCAATAAAAAAAAAATGCAGACACGCATATGGGTTTTACAAAGGAGAACGTACCTCAATGTCAGTGTGTAATCCCCATGCATTTTAGTGGAGGCATCTCGGACCAAAAATGTACCATCAGCAGTGTCCCTAAGCTTTTCGTTGACCTCCTCCCTGCAACAGAAAGAGTCAAACTTTTACAAAAAGAAACATTAATAAGAACAATTAAACAAAAATGCATGCTTATCTGACCAAACATTAGGTTTGATGAGTACTTGCCTGGAGATGTCCCCCCAGTACCATTCAGCATCTTGCAGAGCCATGTTGTTGTTCATACCGTTGTTAGTGACAGACGTTGGTTTGGGTGGCTTGGGAGGTAGTGCTGTAAAGAGAAAAAGAGAAACTTGGTTGAGACCAGAACTGCTGATGAACCAGCAGCACTCAATGTCATTTACACAGACAACATGTGCAGGCATGCTCAAACCTATGTGTCAATATGAAACAACAGTATTACTAAAGGATGCTTTAATCTGATGAGGAGAAAGGAAAACCCCTAAAACATCCTATGGCGTTTTTCTGTCAAGTTGACAATGAATTTTTTCCCCCCAAATGTGACAGTCATGTTTTAAAAGCATGCAACGGTTGCTGCAGTTTTCTCGAATTCTTGCCTCCTCCCCTTCCAGCGTTTTCCATTTCATTAAATGCAGCGGAGCACATGCCTCTCGAGCACTCAGCAGGGAGTCTGATTCTTTACTCAGTGAGAATGCATTTCATTGACCCTTCCAAAAAATCTTCTCATCACCATTTCTGGATCTGGCCAGCATTATACCACATAAGCTGTTACTGATATGCACAATCACATATAAGTCAAGGAGATACAAAACGGGATAAGGAGCTTTAATTTGGATTTGATAATATCAGTTATTTGAATCATCACTTGACCTTTACAACAAGTGTTTCAGAGCAGAATTAGCACCGTTGCTAGAAGCAATGACATCTGACAGCATGCAGAGACCCACTGATAGGCTTTTCAAAGCATTGCAATATGCACATTCATGCAAGAATCCTTAACCATTGAGAACATGTTGCTTTGCTGGATAGAGGCAGAGGTTGCATCTGATTGGCTGCTGGGCCGAGTGACGAGAAGCAGCGGGGGCAGTGCAGTCTCCGTGGAGCATGAGGCAGAGCTGAAGCGGTGGGCTATTTTTATCTCCCCCCCCCACCACCTCCTCATGCACACTCACTGTATCTCCTTTGTTCACTTCAGTCACTATCGTCGCTAAGCATTTTCTGCCTAGTGCAATCACACAACGATATTAAACCAGATACACCTACAAGAATCTATCCGACAAACCACCCAATGCTCTGCAGTACTTGCAGCAGATACATCCTCCATAAAAGACTCGCACACAATAATCTACGCAATGACTGATGTATGTTTCACCATAAGAACAAGTCAACAGCAAATATTACAACTGTTTTGAGACGAACAAATGCATCCAAGACAACATACAGAGAGCTGTCACCCATCAAATTGAGCCTTAAGAATGACACGTTTGTTATGTACCAACTTCAACAGTTACCTGGCGCATCTATTTCTATGTAAAACAGCAGGTCTGATCCAGCTCCTGATCCAGTGTCAAGTCTCAGGCTCTCTAAATCTGCCATGCTTAATGGTTTGTTGCATATCTGGAAGGATTCGCATACAGTTTTCTTGGCAAACCTCCTCTGAATAGATACTATAAATCCAGATTCTTCTTGCTCATCGCTTCGAGATAAATTTTTGAAAAAGCCTTGGAGAGTGGGGTCAGTGAAAACCATTACATCACTTACCCCAGCCAATGGTGCAGCGGGACTGTTGCTGGCCACTCCTGCCTCATCACCTGCCTCTATTTCTTCCAAGTCCTGAGTGCAGTGATGTCATTGCAACAGTGCTTTGTCCATTCAAAAGTCGGCAATGAAAAATGTAGCAAAGAAAGATGTATCTGCTCCAAAGTATGTGATCCAGCAATGTCCTTTATCCGTGTGGAACATAAGCGTTGTCTACGCCGTTTCAATGCTGCCAAACACAGGGAGGTAAATCACTGACAAGGTGCACTGCAGCACAGCATCTTTCAAATGAGGAAAGGAGCTGAAGGCTCACACTGTCTTTCTCTGTCACCCCCTCCCTTCCTGTATCTATGATGCAGCTTTGTTAAGCTCCGCCTCTCTCTGAGCAGAAGCTATCAGTACTGTCCCTCTGCTGGTAGGCAGACAAAAGCAGAGCCCTGATCACTGCTGCAGCGGCACGTAGGCAGTCCCTACGTCAAAGACAAGGCCGGGTCAGGAGGCAGGCAGGCACGGCTTGCAAATGCTTCTTATAATCCCCAAATGCGACCCACGGAGGACCGTTGGAGGGGAGAGATCAGCTATTTAAGCTTGAGAAGGTACCTGAAATAGTCACAGTTCTAAGTAGGGTTAAAAACGGCTCCAGGAAAGTGGGCTATTGTCATGCTCAGCACTCTAATGACAGGTCAGAGAGGCACTTCAACTGGGGCGCTTAAAAGTCATGCAGTAGGTCAAGTGTAACTGACTGCTTTTGGATAAAGCAGCATATTAAAAAACCCCGAAAACTTTAGTTTAAAAAGCAAGTTGACTCTTTGCGTTTTAAAGACATTTTATACCCTCTTTTTTTTTTGGTATAACTTTTCAACTTTTTTTTGAGGTGATGAATAATACAACATGTTCACCTCGCGTGTTCATACATGCCAGTGTCAGACAAACAGGTTAACCCACTTTCCGTAGCAGGTTGCACTTGTGCTAGTCTTGATACACATGAGCACTAGCCAATCGCACAGTGGAGAAGCATGGATATTCAAGTCTGTGAAAGAGCTAAAACAGGACATCTGAGAAGAGCCACTATCATGCTCTCTGAAAAGCCGGGCAACTTCCCAGAGCAATGACATGCTGCTTTGCTTTGATGCACTTTTGTTTGCCTAAAAGTAACCAATCATTACACCCAAACTTCCTGAGACACCAAAACCACACACTTACATTGCAAGTTGTGCATGTTCAGCAGAAGTCAAGCAGCCTTTTGTTCAGCAAGTCCGTCCGGTAAGCATTTCTTGTGATTCTTGGTAAATCCAAGAGACAGTCTTTTTGAAAAAAAAATATTCCCACTTGACAGGCGCAGGAGTCTAAAACTCACTGTAGCAGTCTTAAGAAATTCAGCAAAATCCAAGCTGATAAAGAGAAACTGAGTGCAACAGGTTGAAACCGTAGAGCCCGACGAACTAAAGCAGGTCTGAGAGGGGTGGAGAATGACGCCTGCTCCGGGACGGCTAGGTTAATGATTGCTGGGATCGCACTTCTGCTAACTCTCTCTCTCGCTCTCTGCTCATTCACTCCGTCTGGCTCCAAGAGTTCAGTCTCATGATTAACTTGCTCAGGTTCAAATATTTGCTGAGCTGTGCACCCTTATGTTTTGGGAGGGGAATGTGGCACAGGCAGGAGGGGGCCAGTGGGTGGAGTAAAGTCCTCAGAAATGAACGTTTGCAAGTGTGTGAGAACGCACGCAAGACAGAACAGCCACCGTTGCAAGGGAACAAGAGAGCTCTGTGGAGCAGACCGCACTTCAATCCAACCCAATCCAAGCAGGCCTGTTGCCACCAGCTTAAAATAGCCACCCAGTAACTAGGAACATGCGCACACATGCACCCTTGCACTCAAATTAACACACACATCCGCAGCTACCCACTGCCACATCTGCAGGAATCATGTATGGGCAGGTTGGTAAGGCAACAAGTAGCAGTTAAAGGTGGCACTTGTGTGATCCTTGTTTGTGTAAAAGCTTGCACATAAGGTACAGGAAGAAATCGAGCTGCCCAAGCAAAAAGGAGGCAAGTGTGCTTTTGAGTCTGGGCTCACCCAACCCAGCCTCCTGCAGGTGCAAATTACTGACAGCTGAGCTCGCTCCATGCCATGGCAAGGTATAAATAGGCCCTAACAGGTAATAAAACATGTAAACAGTCACACAGCCAGACTTGGGGCCCCTGGCAGCCTGAGAGAGATAGACGGATAAAGACAGGGAGAGAGACTTTACTGCTGCTATAAAAGCCCAACTAGACAACTGGCCTGTGTTCAGGGCAGCATACACACAGCAGAAGTGTCTCTGTGGTCTGTCCCATCTCTAAATGAACCTGACCCACAAAAGCAAGGGAGTGGAACACATATTTCTCAACAGAGCACTAAACATTCATATCTAAGTGCTACACTGCAGCCAAGACTACACACTGATGAAGTGAAGGGGCACAGCTACTTCATATAAGAATTAAGAACATCAATGCTGTTGTCTTTTTGCTGCATAAAACAAATCAGAACTGGACATCTTCCTTTTTTTACAACTCTTTTCTGTCCATTTCAGCAATTCTTTGGAGCAGTGTTTGCTTTTGATCTGACGTACAAGGTGTGAACATCAGTTGGATCTGTGGGCTAGCTCATGCAGTAAACCCTGTTGCTAATCCATTACACACAATTTCTCAGTTACTTATCTTCTTTCCAATGTTGTCTACCCTCCATGTACTCTAATACATTATAAAAAAGTTGCATGCGTGAGACATTGAGCCATGGTACTCAATGTTTGGACAACACCGGTTTGAATATATCTCGTCATCGCTATCCTATTCCCCCACCATTGTCTCTTGTCCTGTCAAAAATATTTCTATCAGTAAAAAGCAGAATGACTGCACTATTTGCAATGCCATAGAGCAGTGTTTCTCAAACTTTTTGACTTCAACACTGCATTTGAATATGGTGTCAAGTTTAAAGTTTTACATATTTAATTTTAATTTGTGAATATAGCTAAATTTCAATAAATTAATTTAAAATAACTTATTGGTTGAGAACCATTGCTTTGTATTTTTGTGGTTTGTACTCAACATAATAGTATTTTTACCTGGAGCCGCCTGACTGTCACTCCATTCGCTGGTCACCAGGACTTCAATTATCCGAATGTGTGCCTCTGGGCTGGGCTCACAGCTGGAAATGAAAATGGAACATCAGGGTTTTTTGCTAGCTGGCAACAATGTGATTCATCAGCATATATGTGTGTGGGTGTACCTGGTGGTCTGTTGTCTGAAGAGTGCCGGGCTGAAGATCTCAGCGAGGGCACGAGCACTAAGCAGGTTGGCAGCTGAGGCCTGGCATACACGGGAGAAGTGGCGCAGCAAGCTCTGCAGGGTCAGCCAGTACTGCGGAGGAAGTGCAGAGGAGCTGGCCACCAGCCGCAGGTGGTGTGCGCATTCGTCTGTACCCTGCACTTCTGAAGAGACAGAGAGACAGAAGAGTGTTTAAAAAAAAAGAAGCTCTCACACCCACTTTAATACACTTAGCGTGTCGTCAGAACACGTCCCTCGACCTTGGTCTCAAGGGCTATGTATTTATAGGGAGCTAAACATAATCAGCGAGGACATATGCAAAAAAAGTGTACATGCAGTCATGTGGAAAATTGTGCTCAGTGCGCAGTGAGCAACTAACCGCACAAGATCTTAAGCGAGACAATGACAGAGTGAGTAAGGTACTCTGAGAGGTGATTGGTTGACAGCGCTGATGTCGCAGATAAGTTTTCAGGTTTGCTTTAGGTCTATTAACCACAGATATCCTGTTTCCAGCCACGTGACTGCACACTACCCAAAAGAGAACTTTAAAAAAATAAATAAATAAAAAATAACAGTGTTCTCTTTCAAACTGGATACACGCTAGTTTACACCGCTGAAAGTTTGTTCTGTACATGGACAGAATGTTCAGTCACACAGCAAGGGCAGATAAAGTTAACATCCTCAAGCCAACCACCAATACAACACCTGGAATACTTTTCACTGTCGAACTGTCTGGGGTTTGTAGACAAAATCAGGTAAGTGTTGGAACATGTGTACTCATAAAAGCACACGATGTGATGATACAAGCACATGATCTTGCTAGATGAGTTGGCACTGATGCTTTCAGAAGTTCATGGGAGTGTGCAAAACTTTCTTCTTTTATGAGGACTCCTTGTGTTACATTATTACCATTGGAGGAGGTTCACCATCTGGCTAACACACATCAGAACAATAGCACCACCCTGTGGCTCTAATAATGAATTGAGATCAATGAAAAATGCTCTGATTATTCCATACATTCTTTGGTTTTAGGGCCTTTAAGTTTAATTTGAAGGACCACAGGAGTTCACATCAGAGAGAGAGAGAGAGACCGTATAATGAACCAGACCACTAACGAACAGGAGATATCGGAACTCTGAACACGAGAGCTGAAAGGAAGTCCTGTATTTCAAATGAAATAACTGAAAACCCTTATTCTAAAATGTGCATTAGCCACATTAACCAACCTGATAAAATTTATTTTAAAATACATATTTTAGCCTGATTTTAGCAAAATAAACTCATTTTAAGCTATTGTTACTGTGAGATTTTATTGGTGACTTGATACGTTACCAAAATCTGATCCGGTAACATAGGAGCTGTACTTGCATAGCTAGAACATAGCATAGGAATGCTACTATGCTGACCAATGAATGAACTGATTTTAAAAGGACTTAATCCACAGCATTTCATAGCATCTTAAACATTAGTTTAGTGGAAAACTGTGAAATTGGCAACTCATCCCACTGTAAATCCAATGATTCAACATAGTTGTATTAATATGGATTATTATTATATCATAGAAACCCCCTGAGAATTGTAGGGCTGTTAATCTAATGCTGATATGCTGTAATCCTATGGAAACCCACCTTGAGCAATGCGTATCATCTCGCTGTAGACCACAGAGGGGATGACAGGCTGAGCTAGATCTTGAAGATACCTCCTCAGACCATCGTACAACATCTGAAGGTCCATCTGCTCAAGATCCACCGAGGCAGGGTCTAATTCAAAGAACACAAACATCAGTGAGCCAGAAAGAAATGAAGCTAGCACCAGGCACAGAGAGACAAGTCCTTAAACTTTTCGATCTCTCTTTTTTTTTTTACCTTAACCAGCTTTAGCTACGATTTCTATTTGTAGTATGTTGAAAATATGAGTGGTGCTCAATGTAACAATGCTAGCTTGTTCTGGGTGGTTGCCAGGACGTGGATGTGGTATCTAAGGATGCTTTCACACCTGGCTCGTTGTTTCGGAACCTGGCGCGTTTCCCCCCTTAGCTCGGTTCGTTTGGGCATATGTGAACAAGGCAATCGCACCCGGATCCGTGCCAAAACAATCGGTCCGAGATCGCCTGAACGAGGTGGTCTCGGCTCGATTGAAAACGAACTCTGGAGCGGTTCGGTTGTAGTGAGAAAGCAATCCAATCTAACGGACCAACGAACCAGGCTATATCACAATTAATTGCTTTTGATTAATATTAAGAAAGTGCTGTCACTTTAAGAGAATGCACTGACACAGTATGTTCAGCCGACTATGTCTGCTATAGGATACTTACCAAGATAGGCATTGACAATTTTTGTGTGAATTTGTCCATTTAAACAATACTTCAGAGAAAGCTTAATGTTCCACCCCTAGTAATTATGCAAGTTCCGTGAAAAGCATTAGCTTTGTTGTTTTGCTAATACTTCAAAATGAACCTGTGAATGTCTGTGGGTGAGCACGTCTTCGCCATTTAAAATAAAAAAGCGCACTTTTTCATTTTATAATGCCGTCTTATTGCTCTTCTTCCTAGTAGGTGCATTTTAAAAATGTTTTCCCGATGAATCCTGGACTCCTGCTCAAAATGGTAAATTAATATGAGGACAGCTACAAAAAAAAACAACAACAATAAGCCCGCAAAGCTGTTGTCGTTCCATCCTGACGGATGACAGCCGTGACAGCTAAATGGAATCCCGGAAAATAAACCGTGGAACTTTGACCAATGAGACAACAGTTTACTTGTATTAACAAATTTGGTCCGTTTAGAAACTTTGCCGAGTGAAAGCGAACCGCACCAAGAATAAAAAACAACATTGTAATAATTTTAATCCCTGTTTCGGAACAAAGCAATCGATCTACAGGTGTGAAAGCACCCTAAAAGTATTCGGAGTAGCTGTATGTGGTTGCTAGGGTGTCCTGGGTCAAAATACATTGCCAAGTCTATGTGACAATCTGATCTTCAGATATCTTCAGAGCGCCTTCAGTGTAAAGGTCCTTGCACACCTAGTCCAAAATTTTCCGTTTTTTTTTTCTTCCGTATTCGTCATCCTTTCCTATCAAAATGCTTGCTACGGATGCGAAAAAGCAGAAAATCGAACCTGGAGCGATTTTTTTTACGACGGACGAACGTTTCGGAGGCAGTGTGTAAACGTGATTGACACAATGCGAGATCTCGAATGTAGTGCTTGAGGTATTTATTTTTAACGTGCAAAAATTTCGGACTCAGTGTGCAAAGACCTTAAGTCTATGGAATTTTAGCCGTTTAAACATTTGCTGGTGAAAATTGTAAATCTGACTGCTTAGACAACTGACAGAACACCTTTTCTCAAGAAACCACATGTCTGTAGCACCAATTGTGCGTCAGGTTGAAGTTTTTGAAAAAGTAGCAATAGTAATATCCAACTGTGCTGGTTAAGGCAGTGTTTCACGTTCAGCATGGACAAAAAGCTTTTGTTGCATCGCACCATTTTAAGATAGCTAACAGTAGCAACACCTAATGGAATGCGTCACTCACCACTATCAAAGCACTGTCTGACATCCAGCCCTCCTCCAGCAGTGAAGTTTCTGTAGAGTGTAGGGTTGTCTAGACCTGTACAGTGTTTATATGCAAATTAATATATGTAGAAAATGCAATAATTACGGTGTGCACGTACATGTGACAAAGAAATATGCCTAATGGATTCTATTCACCTTTCCGCTCGATGGCCTCGAGGAGCTTGAGAAGCATGGGCGGTGCTACCTCTGGAGGTGTGAACTGCTCCGTCAGGTCAACCAGAGCGCTCGAGCCTAGAGGAGAGAAAGTTGAACGCTCGCATCAAAAAGCCGCGAGGTACCTTTGAACAACTACTAGCTTTTCATTAAGCACCAAATGCCATCATTTCAAAGCCTCCAAGGAAAACAAGAATTTTACACCATGACCCACTCCACAGTCACGGCACGCTTAGATCAATAATGGTCCTCAATTATATATGTGGTGCAGCAAGAAGCACATTTGGACGGCACATCTAAGCGTGGCGGGGGGGGTTAGGGCTGGCGCTGACCGGTAGGATATGATTAAGTGTGCAGTGAAGGTGGACAAGAAGGCTAAAGCAAACAGACCGCAATATGCAGCCGCTGGTGTAGGGTGGAGGGTTACTGAGATCTACAAGTCCAGGTGCGGGCATGAAAGGGCTGCGGGACTGGCTTGAGCTTTATTTGGATTCGCTGCACAGCATTTTAAAAGGCTAGGATTTCTAAAAGACTTGACTGTTACCAGAATCCGAGGCCGCAGATCCAAACACAGCAGATTATGAATGGATTCACTTTACAGAGTCTTTTTACAGAGGTATGAAGAGTATCTTTGCAGTTTCTTAAAAGGAATTGATCAAATTAAAAGTTTGGAGGCTGCCTAAATGGAAAAAAACCCAAAAAACAACCACACATGAGGAAATGGGGGTTTAAGCCATTAGAAATAATAGTCTTGTTTAGTCCCAAGGCTCTGGGACTTTTTTTGCTAGCCTGGGAGATAAGCAAGGAAAATAGTAGATATCACACCGCTTCTCTTGAACTTCACTTTGAAAGACAACAGCCATCTGGAGTCCATTACTGCCAAGGCAACATCGAGCATAAGGAGAGTTATTCATTTTCTGAGAACTGCTGAACTCGAGGCAGGGAGAGTGAATGACAGATTCCTCGTATAGAAATTTGGAGCGTAGTGTCACTTTGGTAGGCCGCACTGAGTGGTAACCTTGTGCCCAGACGGACACCTTATCCAGCCCACTGCTTCTTAGAATCCAGATTCAAAGTGCTGGGCTAATTTTACCTTAGCTCACAATGTTCTGGTCAAAGGCGACAAATATGGTCTTTGAATTTAACAGATCCCTACATTTCCTACGTATGCTTGTTGAAATATCTAAAATCACTATGTTGTTGTGAGATTGAAACTTGCTCAGTGAATAACACTATGGTGGTCTGGAATCTCAAAATAAATAAAATAAATAAATGTCATAACACACACCCCATTTCAGGGTAGAACTGTATATTCCAAGAGTCTTGTGTTTATTTACATGTGTTGGATGGGCATTTCCACGGAGACGCAAGACTGAGAGGGGAGGGGGGATTGAGTTGCTTCTAAGTAACTCAGGGTGACCTGATAGCACAGGCCTTCTACATGGCTAGATTGAATGACATTCAGGATTGATGATAGTAGAATAGTCCAAATGTTTTGGTTCAAGGTTCCACTATGTCCTCGAGACACCTTCTTGGAGTAAATAAAGAGGAACTAGACTTTGGTTCTTAGGTTTTGACCATGCAAAACACATTGCGACGGGTGGTTTCTCACAGGGTCTGTTCTTCAGTGTAATTCAATGGAATTTTTTGGCTATTTATTGTTCATTGAAAACTAAGTCTGACCACTCTCCAAAACAAGATACGTGACATGTTACATGCCAAGTATAAGCAAGCGTCACTAAGAACTGGGCAGTCAAGCAAGATTGGATGCACTGCGCCGTGAACTCACGCAATATTATACTCACGCCAAGCTCGTCAACCCACTGCGAGTAGCAATAGTCGGAACATAGTGAGTGTTCCTGTGAACAATGCTTTAGAAAGATCCAGATGAAAACATCTTCTGTTTTCAACTACTAGGCTTAATTTATCCAAGCTGTGCAGTTGAGATCACACAATCAACCGGGCAATGGAAACAATTAAAGATGCATTCACGGTGAAGTCCAAGTGTGTGAAAAACAGTTTAAAATGTCTCTAGTTCTCTGCAAGCAAATTAAACAAACAGAAAACAGGCAGAAAGCAGCCCAGCTCAGATTCAGACAGCCAATCAAAGTGGGCTGCAGATTCCGGTTGCCGTAGCAACTCCTGGAAGAGGGAGTCAGTTTGCAAGTCTGAACATGCGTAGTGTCTGAATGTGTGGCGGTCCTGTTGTTACTATGCCATGGGATGCAAGGAAAGGGACCCCAGGTTAAGGAAGGGAAAGCAGCTGCCTGGGTTTGTAGAACAAACTCAGCACATCTGAACCACAGACTAAGATCAGAGAAAATACACATGGTGCATCAGCAGCAGTGCTAATTTTGACAGCAAATTGATTTAGTTTTAGTCAGTCTTTTCACTAAAATGCCATTTAGTTTTAGTCATATTTTAGTCGTCTGAATTGTTTTTAGTTTTAGTCTAGTTTTAGTCGACTACATCTACAGTAAATTTAGTCGGCTAAAATCTAATTGGTTCAGTTACAGTGCATTTATTATTAATTTCTCTAAAATATCCAAACTCATTATATAGGTTTGATATTAAGGTTTTATCATGATAGACACTGATTTAACTGCGGTGACTCACAACATGCCTTTATGTTAAAATTAAATAAAACCCACTTCTCATAAAGAACAAGAACATGGTCTTCTTTTTAATGAAATACCAATGGTCATATAGGCTAATTATGCATTTTTATAGCAACTTGTTTACCATATTCTTCATTCTTACAAGCAGACATATTTATTTCTATAAATACATTTAGAGTAATCTTTAGGGCTACTAAAGTTTTTCAGTCAAGAGCAGTGCGTGATTTTCTACCTTTCTTTTGTTGCTTGATTAACATCAATGACTCAGACAATAGCAACTAAATTAGGCTGCTATCCCTTTAAAACCAAATGCACAGCTGGATGCAATGTACTGATACACGTTCTGCCTACTGTTTACGTTCACTTAAGACAATCAACTGTGTTTACGTGAATACTCGTCAAAACAGACAATTCGACCTAATTTTGCTTGCAATTCTCCGTTCATGTGACGTGAAAGAGAACTTGCGCGCTATGAGACGCGCTTTCTGTGTGTGTGCTTCAGTGTCTGCTCTCAGAAAACCGGACCGAATGGAGTTCTCTCTTGCGTCGCCAGATTTATCCATATGTCTGCTCTTCTCTTACTCCCACATATTGACATTTTTGAACGTTTTATGCGACGTGCAGCAAGTGTATGTTAGCTTATTTCCCGCCGGTTCATATGTATGCATTTAACCTCCGAACCACGCAGCAGATTTGTTCTGAATGAATCGCTTCCCAAATCGTCCCTCCCTAACATTTTCGTCTCGTTTTTATTCGTTGACGAAAATGTCAATAGATTTACGTCATAGTTTTTGTAGTTCAAAAAGAGTTTCAGTTCGTTATAGTCTCGTTTTCGGTGAAAAAAATGTCATGAAAATGTTAACATGAAATTAACACTGCTCAGCAGCTAATTTTAGGGGTCTACTCGTGTACCTAGTGTTTCCATTACTGACTAGTTCTTCTTCGAAATGTCATTCTAGCAAACCACTAAATGATCATCACATTTCCCCCAGGGATCAATAAGGGATGTTTAAGGGTCTTAACCTGATTTTGAGGAACCAAGTTGTCAAGGTGTTACCATTACAGTCATCAGCTGCTCTGGGTACTGTGAATACTTGTGCTGTGTATGTAAAAATGGTCCTCTTGGTAGATTGACAGACTTATTTTTTGGAAAGAGTCAAGTCGAGTCACTTTTATTTATATAACGCTTTATACAATACAGATTGTGTCAAAGCAGCTTTACAATATTAAACAGGAAAATAGTGTTTCGATAATGCAAGAGGACAACAGTAAACACTCAATGTTTCAGTTAAAGTCAGTGGATAATTGAATTCAGTGACGTCATCGTTCAATTCAAATAGTATCTGTGCAATAAAGTTGACAATATTGCCAGAAATTCAATGTCCCCAACTAAGGGGACAGTGGCAATGAACCAAAACTCCCATCGGAGACAGAAATCGAAAAAAAAAAAAAACAACTTTGTGAGAAACCAGGGGGGGCAGTTCTCCTCTGGCCAGACAAATCCAGCATGGTGTGGTTGTCTGGTTCTTGTGGTCCAGAGCTCTTTGATGATCCTTCAAAATCTCCCCCACCCTCCCCATTTAATGTCTCCTATAAAACATCTTTAAATAATCTATTTTATTAATTAAATCTTTAGTAACATGCAATGAAAGAAATAAGGGTCACACTTTATTTTAAGGTCCAATTCTCGCCATTAACAACCCATTAACTATGACTTTTTGCCTAATTTGCTGCTTATTAACAGTTAGTAAGGTAGTCAAGTTTAGGTATTGGGTAGGATTAGGGATGTATATGTGCTTTTTAAGTACTAATAAACAGCCAATATGTTAATAATAGGCATGCTAATAAGCAACTTGTTACTAGTGAGAATTGGTCCCTATACTGAAGTGTTACCGATATAAGCTACCAAAATAGGCACACAATGTATTACAATTATATAAATGAGGAACATTTTGTGTTGCCCTATTGGTTAAGTGTGTAACAGCACAAATCAACAGAAGAAAGGGGTTTTCAAACAACCCACTTCTCAAAAGAAAGACTTGAGATAAAAAGGCACGTGTGCTGATGTTTTGAAACATCTACTGTAATAGCAATGTGAGATATAACAGTGATGAAACAATGTAAAAGCAAAGAGACAGTGTCTCTCTTAGGGCAGTGTATGAAAACGCCTCTGATAGCATTTCAGAGGCAATTATATTTGAATTTAAAATGCATAATTTCAGTTAGCGTGAAGAAAAGCTTTTATCTTCTCTTCTGAGGCCACAAGAGGGCGCATCTAGCAAAATATTAGCATACTAATGCACGTTTATTCAAAGCATATAAGATAACATGACTATCTGTGAAAAAAGTGCATAATGTTTAAAATAATGTTTATAAACCAATTATAATTAAGTTGCTTAAACAACTATAAACAAAACAGCATAATGTATGTATGCATAGTTTAATACAAAGGGCGGAAAG